TTATCCAGTTACACTGAGCTTATGCAATTTTGCAAAGAATGAATAAAATTTAGTCTCTAAATGGCCAAAACTGTTAGATATAATCCAAAGATTTACAGCTGTAATTACAGCAAAAAGTGTTTCTAGACACTATTCCACTCCTGAGTTTTGACTCAGCATAAGAGAGGTTATGGAAGTACACCAAAATGAGTAATTATTGTGTGTAAAAATGTGACACATTTCAATGGGCATGAATTCCTTTGTGAGGCATTGGACAGGGCAGAACTGACTAATCATTGCCATCAAGACTCAACTCGATGCTGGAGAAGAATCTTAACCCTCCTACACGGCACACCAATGTGAAACCATAAACTAGAAAGTAGCAGATTTATTAGAAACCCGTCTCCACTCCACAAAAATAGGCTAAGTGGGCAGCGATTCAGCAGCAACACCTCTGATGGCAAAATTGTGTTAATGATGCCATCGTGTGGTCTCTCTCAACGGAGACGCTTTCTTCTAATGTGCATTCGTAAATCAAGAAGTTGATCCAAAAGAGAGAGAAAAAAAGTGTTTTACATTTTTATGCGAAGCAGTTTATTATCAGACTGTGGTAACCATGGAGATTTCTGCAGAACGAGCGGGAGGAAACATCATCACCTTGGTGGGATTCCGGGTACTGACGTTGGGCATTAGGCCAAACCTGCCACTCCTCTGCATTGCCCAGACTGTAAACCAGCGTTAGATGGATTGTGGTCTTAAGCGTCTCAAGCTGAACGGCGATGCAAACACACAGGGTTGTGTTGTGGAAATAAATTCACACTGGAACACTTTTTGAAAGCCGCCGTTCATCATGGCACCAACAAATGTTGTATAGAAAAAAATCTTCCAAATAAAGAAACACCTGACAACTGTCCAGCAGCGTGACAAATCAAATCTTCAGAACACCTTCGCACCACATGCAGGAAGCCATGTACAACATTTTTATTTCTCCTCATCTACTAATAGTACTTTGCTTTTTGCACCAAGTTTCTAAAAAAAAAAAATCTCTACGCCTCGTTCTACGTGGAGGAAGAACCCAAAGAGTGGGGGATGAGGACACTCCACAGTTCATGCCTTAATGATGATAGATCGTTCAATCAGTCAAACCATGGAGGTGACAGACTGTAGTGTTTGTGAGCATAAAGTTACCCAAATTTTAAAATGCATTATTTTAGCTTGATTTTTGCCTTTTAATTGTCCCTATCACTGCAAAACATCCACTGACAACTAAAGAGGTAAAGTTCTAATTCCTACAGATGTTTATAAACAATTTACCAAAAGATAACCCATTTCTTTCTCAGGGTCTGACATTAAATCAAAGTTTTCTGTTTTAGCTCAGTCAAGATTACCAAAATAATTTCTCTTTGCAAAATACCAGAATAATCCAAGATAATCTTTTTAGACATTTTTTATTACTTTCTTTAAATTTAGTTTACATACACTGAGAATACTTTGCCTTTAAACAATTTGGGAAAGCCGTGATTATGATTTAAACTCTGCAAGCTTAAGTGTCTCACAAACCCAACAAAAAAGTATGATATAATATCTGAATAACTTACTACCTACTGCAAACACTTCTACTTTGATCGCTTACTTGCCTTGCTGCATTTGGGTCTTCACGATTTATATTATTTGAAACCTCAAACCTTTCAAATTTCACTGAATACGACTCTTAATTTGAAAAAGATAAACGATTGTGTTTGTTCTGAAATGTAACAAATACAAATGTTGTTGGCGATAATCACATGTGAGCTAAAGCAGGAAAAATTTTGAACTACTTAATACCAGACAAAAATGTTGTGTTTGTTATATAGTGTATGCAAACATCTGGATTTTAACTATATATGTATGATATGTATAGTATATAAGAAATTTGGATTAGCTTAAAGTTTGTCGGGTCAAACAGAATATTTTAGTATTTTAACTTTAAAAGTATTTTGACAACTACCACACCATTTTTCAGGTAAACCTTCTCAAGTAAAACTCATGTGACTATGAGCAAAAAAAAAAAAAGAAAAAAAAGTGAGACTTCCAACTGCTTCCATTCACCAATGTAATGTTTAGCGTAATGTAAGCCAGCTATACTTTAGAAGAGGGAAAAAACTTTCCGTTTTTAGATTTTTCTCTTTAAATATAGATATTTGATTTTAAACTTAATATCTTCTTGTTCCTTAAAACATAAAATATTTGCATTAGAAAACAAAAGCATCAGCCGTGTAGTGGATTTGAACTTTAATAATTTACACAGTAAGAAAAAGCAAAACTCCCCCAGGAGTTCTGTCACAAATGTCTTTTTTTTATATTATACAGTATTTACTTATTTTAAATTGAAAATCACAGGATGTATAGTCTTCCGCTATCAACTGATAAAAGACACATTAATGTATAAAATCCCAGGCTCTGGTGGACGAGATGACGACATTAAACAGGATAATAACCATTAGGTTTGCTCAAAATGCTGCATTCTGCAACTAATGATGAGGAGGTCAACACGTCAGTAAGAGTTATCTCATTTACTGCTGTTGTCATCTTTAACGCACCCCTCCTCTTGTTTGTTTCTCTTACGCCCTCCCACCTCTGAGCCACTGGATAAAAAGACTGGATGAAATTGAGGAGATTACACTTTATGTCCATCGCTGTCTTCTGTTACCTTTACTCCCTCGCCACACATGACATCATGGAAAACTTTGTAGGGCTTCAGCTGCAGTAAAGAAACCCTCTGTTGTTTCAGCTATTTTGAGAGCCTGTGTGCATACACGGGGCTAAAAATATCGATTCAAAACACAGGATTCCGCAAATGTTTCCACCTTCGGCGCTGTCATGCGAGTGGCATTTGAGTCAGGTTGAATTGGGCCGTGATGCTGAAAAGGAGATATTTCAGCGTGGATTAGTCTTCAGAGGGATTCAATGGAAAAAAAATTTTCCAAGGTACGTAAACGGGATTTGGAAAACGAGCACGACTTAAATCCTTTCCGCACTAATTGTGGTGCTTCCGACTCTTTCATTCATTTCCAAAGGTAAACAAGCAGATGTTGTTGAATCAAACTGAGAAATCTTCAGCCTCCTTATGTTTTGGGTAGGAAATTTTGATTTTACAAGATACATGAACTCAACACGGCTTCCTCTTAACGAGGCAAAGTACGGTGACGGCGTTCTGCACGCATCCTACTGTTGCAAACCCGTTCATCTATGTATACTCAGTAGAAGTGGTGCAATATGAACACTATCTGATTATTCAACTCTGTCTCATTTTAGAAAATGTAATTATGTATTTGTCAAGAGTGAGAAACAACTCATGTTTGGGTTTAAGTTCAGGTTTTCAACTAAGTGACACAAGACTCAGGCAACCATCACGTCTGTCTCATATTGTACCAAGGTATATGCTATTGTCAGTTGTTTGTCATGTGGTATTCCTACTGGATAGGTTCCTCTAATTGTTTTCTAAGATAAGATTTTATTTTGCAGTAGCAATATGTTTGAACTCCTTTGTCTTTGTTTGCGGCTAACTAGCATTAGCGCGGTAAGTGGCTCGTGTTGAGCCACTAAACTCCACTCCATTTTTGTTTCCATTTCGTGAAGAAAGAAGTTGCGCTCATGTCTTCTTCAGAGGTTTTTATGTCGTTTCCTTCAGCTGCTCTTAGCGCAGCGCCTCCACAGGAGAGAAGGTGAACAGCTTGCTCAAAGGGTTTGGCTTGTCTGACAGTGCAGTGTGAAAGCCAAACGCAGCAGCTGAAAATGCAACAAATGTTGCAATTTTCCTCCCCAATCAAACTGAGTCTACCAGACTATCATGTACGAAAACACCCTTTGAAGAAGCAAGTTAGTCAAAGTGGAGTTATCTTCTACTCGACCCAACTTCATGTTAGCATATCTCAGAAAAGCTAAAAAAATGTTTTTTTAAAATCCATCACAAATGCTTGAACTTTAGAAATTTTTTAAATATAATTGAACTCACCATTTTTGCCTTCATTTGTCTGTTTCCTGGGTCTGTAGCTTGGCCTGTCTGTCTGCCGTCCAGCTTCTCTGCCAGCATGTGTGGCCCTCTGTGGGAGACCGGGATGCCGTCTGTCCCGTGGAGCGTCGTTGCAGACCTCTGAGCATTTCACAGTGTTCATGGCTCCCCCTTCACTCCCCAGCGGATGACATTTCTTCTTGGGTCACCTCCCTTCAGCAGAGAGAAAGATACCGTGAAAGTGAACGCTCGGCAGACCGGGGGCCACGAAGGAGCGACTCTTAACCACGGCCTTGGTTAACTGTTACAGTTAAACAACAAGATTAAATAAGCGCAAAAACGTCACAAGTACGCGAATGGGTAAATGTGAAAACTCTTTCCTTGACACTAAAAGCTGGAATGAAGCCAAGTCAGTGTTTACAGAACACAACATATCTTCCACATTTCGTGTTTCGGAGGCCCGTCTCGGCTCAGGCAGACGGCCGGCGTGTGGCTGGTTGTTTATGATCCCAGTTCAAACTCACGTTCAGCCATATGTGTGCATCTCTTAACCAGCTGGAGTTAAAGAGAGCGAACATTTTGAGTACAAGCATTACAAATTTTAAGTCCTGAAGTCTTGCTTTCAAAAATAAAAATGTAAGCACAAGTATTAAAAGTTTTGAGAATAAAAGACGCTTTCAGACTGAAAATGTGTGCTCTCAAATTATGGCACAAAAATAGCCCCATACCTTCAGGATTCTGGTTTGTGAGTGTTTGGGTGAGATTTTGTAGCACAGTTGAGTGCTACAAAATCTCACTCAATGAGATTTTACCTTTAGTTGTTATGAAAATGTTGCATATATCAGACATAACTTAAAAGTCTTCTGACTTCTGATTATAGCCGTAACTGACATCTTAAAATTAGCCTCTGTCTCTTTAAGAATCTCCTACCTTTCCGACACTCCCTCTCAGGCACGTCATTACAACATGCTTCATCGCGTCGGCCATTGATGCCATATTATGTCTATGATTGATGCCGTTTACCTGCTGAGTAGAGGTGCGGTCAGTTCCAACAGGTGTTTGCTAATTGCTGCTACCGCGAGTTAGCAGGTGGAGTTGTGTGGGAGAAGGACGGGGAGATGCTTCAAAATGGCCGCCACAGGAGATTCAAGGATTCCTCAAACACGCACAAATGAGTCACAGCAGCACTCTAGGTATGTTTTTATGAAAAAAAGGCATTATAATTATCTCTAAAGCTCAAAAAAGTGAAAAAAGTTTATTTTACATCAAAGAAGACCTCAGTCTCCTATTCAGGTGCGAACTGCCTTTTATACTTGGGAGCATGTAAATATACGCCATTTTGGAGGAAATTGTAGTAAGTAAAACAACTTTTTATAAACTGTGTGATGCTGTGAGAGCTCTGGTGGAGACAGCTGCACATTATCCAAAAAAACAAAACAAAAACTACTTCCTGTAATCTTTTTAGTCTCTTCGGCAGTAGTAACATCGGACTGTTGAACACGTACGTTTGAAAAAAAAAAAAAACAATAAATAAAAATAATCGTAGAGCAAGACATTTTTGATTGAAAACTTTTTTTCCGACATTGGTGTGTTTCCATTAAGCAAATTTATTTTCGTAATTTCAGTTTGTGCAGCTTTTTATGATTAATAAACACAGCTGTTGCTAATTGTTAAGAGGCCTTTACCTTTCCACATCTTCATTCATCTCTTGGCCGATTTTGCATGTTGGAGGGGAAGCTGCAGCACAAACATTATTTACATGGCAATCCACACATGGAGGGACATTTACCAGTATGGATAATCAGCTTGAAATAGCATAAAAAAACTTTTTTTTTTTTTTTTTTTTTTTTAGAGATTTAAACTTGTCTTATTAAGAAGAAGATCATGTCCCGGTTAGTCCTCTGGGATTGGACTCGCATCTTCGGGGAAACGTCCCTGAATGCACTGCGTCTACTCACACGATATCTTGACACATAGATTACATGCTGTATGCCTGAAAGAACAAAACCGGGTTCCACAGCATACTGTACATAAACACTCGGCTGGGCAAAAAATAACAAACCCATGCATTTACCGCTGAATGCAGACAACAGTTACAGTAAATCAGCCTGTTAAAAGGCCAGAAACGACTGGGACTCTTCCTCACAGCATCAGGAGGAACCTCTTTACTGAAGCCTTAACTGATGGGCCGGCTTTGAAAGCCCACCCAGAGACAGATAGGGTCCGCTCCGACAATTTATACCACAGGGGACTTGAAATAGGCAAAGAGATAGGCGAAGGAAAACATTGCCTCAAAGACACCCAAGTTCAGCTTGGTGTTTCACATTAGCTCAGAGCACAACAAGTTATCAGTGAATCTCCTCTTTTTATGTGACACTAGACTGACCGAGGGGAGGGGGGGGGGGAAGTTTCTTCGTTGGGTGACTCAGAGGCAGAAGCGTGCATCTGAGGAGGGAGGGGAAAAAAAGACAGGAAAAAGTAACCTAGCCTGTCTTCAAAAGAGTCAGGTTTATAATCTGATGCTATCTTGTGAATGGTGCTCTGCGTTTCAGAGTCAACACAATGCGAGCCAAGACACGTGGACACGTGGCATTAGGAGCTCCATCAAGATGAGCTGATAGCAGATTCCTATAAAGAGTTGTCCTCCCGTTGATTCTCTCCGATTGGCCTGAATGCTTTCTGCATTATCTGCCTGCGTCTCTAATGACTCGCAGATTAAGGGGTGGCTGGGAGAACAGGCAGTCGCTTATCTGCTTGAGTTCACAGCCTGCCCTATATTTTCTTCATGATGGGGATGTTAATCTTTATTACGCGGCAGAGTTTAAATAATTGCTCCCAGATCTTGCTAGTGGAATGTCACAAAAGCATGAATTTTGGCACGCCGGTCGTGGCGGTACTTGAATCCACGGACATGGTGCCTCCTTTTTGTATTTTTGATGATGTTTCGGTTAATAACATGGAATTAACATGTTATCGCATTTTTTATTTTTATTTTTTTACATACAAAAGATCTGAGCAGGAATCTTCGCACTGCGTTTCTGGTACGTCTGTAAATTTGACACACAAGCAACATCCGCAAACAACAGCGATGGACGACAAAACCGCTTCTCACGGCCCGCTGGGGGTTAATTTTGTTTTGTTATGTTGGGATGCTGGAAAAGATGAGTGTTGTGTTCAAGTTGTACTAAAAGTTGGCGTATCACCGAAACTATTCAGGCCAAAAATAGCATGTTAGCGTAAAAAGTGTTGCAGCAGCAAATGTCCCCGTTGCTAATGCTACTGTTCAGTTCACAGTCGTGAAAAGGTATTTTTCAAAATAAGTTGCATGGATGATCAGGTGTTCCTGAAACACTTGAAAGATGAAGCTGTGTAATAGCACTTTGTTTCAATCTGATAACTGAGTAACTTAAATATCAATAAATATTTGTTCAATAATGCTAGCATCCACAGTGGAGAATAACCAGGGTTTCCTGAAACACTTGAAAGGTCAATAAGCATAATTGCACTTTGGACATAACTTTTTGTTGAAATACAATTAATGAACCCTGTGGTTAAACATTTCAGCCGTGTCCCACCACCAATTCAAATACAGCTTTTTAATTCTCCCTGCTAATAGACTTTTTTGATACTTTTCTACAGAAATGAGGCCATTATTTTGTCTGCTTGCCACCGGCCTACAGACATCCCAGAGTTCGTCACTAGCATCACACGGACGTGAGGCGCTATGAAAAGGTCAGTCGGACTCTTCCGCCACGCAATTATAGAACAAAATGAGATTAAAAGCATTTCTGGAGCCATAAACACCGAGGTTATCTCATCGTATTCTTCTGACAGTTACATACTGTCTGAAATATGCAAGAAGTGCTTTTAAATTACGAAGCCCCAGAGGTGGGCTGTAGTAGTCTACTTCCTATTATAGAAGGCTTGTGTGTTCACAGTGGCATTACATAATTCATAAGCAGGATACTTTAATCTAGCTTTTTGTTTCATGTCGCGACTAGTGAAGGCTATATTTCACACTGAATGACAAAGCGCTGTCTGTTTGTAGGTCCGAACGTTTAGCCTTTAGCTGATCTCCTCCTCTGCCCTGCACTGTTTCATTGACAATTTATTCATTCGAGTAGTCACATCTGGTATGTTTTCTTTCCGTTTTGTATCTTTTCCTCTGCCTTCACACTTTTCAGCTGTGGTTTTTTTTTTTAATCGTTCGAAAGTGGCCACAGGCTGAGTTGACACTAAGCCAAAGGTACAAGGCCTGTAATATTTAACTTGGGGTTGGTCCAGGATTTCCAACGGAAGATTGTGAATTTATGTTGCAATCAGTCCGGTAAAGTAAAGCCTCCAGCTGAGCTCATTATGATAACTCCTTCTTGTTTTCTGCTTAATAACATTTGATTTCACTCATCTGAATGAGAGCGTCGTAGCAGGTTGTTTTTAACAGTTGGCCTTCATAAAGTATTCACGTCTCTTGCACTTTTTTACGTTTTGTCACATTACAGCCGCAGTGTTTTTATTAGGGGTTTATTAGGGGTGTACCAACACAAATTACCCCAATATTGTGTCAGATTTTTCACTTTTAAAAGTAAACATGTGAAAAGTGTGGTTTGCATATTAATACAGCTTCCATTTACTTTGCAATCCCTAAATAAAACCAACCCCATCCATATGTGACGGAGTTGAAAACTACAATCCACCTTTGCATCACCTTAGTGCAAATCCCACAAATTAAGTTCTTTATGGAAAGGCAGAAAGAAGAAAGTTATTGTTTACATAAAGCCATAATAAGACCAGTATAAATTTTTACCCCATGTTAAAAATGTGAAACACGGTGTATGGAGCTAAATTGGTGCCATAAAGTTTGTTCATAAGAAAAAGAAATTGAAACTAAAATAAAGATTTGAAATTGAAAAACTGGGGAAAAAAGACTTTTTTTTCAGTTTCAAATCTTTTTCAGTTTAATTTTATGACCAACTTTATGGCCCCAGTTTAGCTCCATAAAGGTGCTTTAGTCAGATGATTTTGACAGTTTTGGCCTACAGACAAATTCAAAATGCTGCATATCGTTAGGCTGCCACATAGAGATAAAACGAGTAAGAAGTTGTAGAAGTGATATGACTAGAAACAATTATGTTCATAAACCTATCACAATAAGTGTAAAATGAATTAATCACATGATGAATTAAAACAAGCTCATTTTCCATTTGTATGATTTATCATCTTTCTCTCTTGATTTAGTTCACAGAGACTCCATTTTATTTGTTGCTTCGGTTGTTCTGTTAATTCTTTTTGGACATTTAAAAGGTTCTAATGTGAAATATTCATTTGAAGTTAAAGTTTATTAATTTTTGAGAGGGTATACTTGCGTTATTCTGCCGTTACCAATATATGACTTGAAAATGGTCTCCAGACAACATTGTCATCATTTATTGCAATAACTTTTGGGGTAATTTAAAGCCTAGCACAATTTGTTATTGTGACAAGCCTACATATTGTACCCTTACGTAAATGCATCTATAATAGTGTAGAACATGCAGTAGCTGATGAAAACAGTCTGCACTTTACACAAAACTGAAAATGATCAACTGGGTCTCAAGGAAAAGGCCATTTCATGCCGTCTCTCATTTGTCCTCGCTCATATCTACAGTTCACATTATGACAATAATGGAAAGCTTAATGAACTCCCAGATCAGTTTCCATTTCCAGCGGACGGTAGCCTCAGATCTGGAAATTCTTCCCACAACAGAACGAGCCAAGAAATCCCAACAAATCCCATTGGATAGTTCTGCATTTGGATGCAGAACTATCCAAATGTGAGCCGGTCCCTGTGAGGTTCTACAGTGTCACTTCTCCCGTTTCCTGAATCAGATGGGGTTATTAAATTGGACGGGGCAGATCTCACAGAACGCCGTTCAGTTTATTATCTGAAAATGAGAAGATTATGACTCCTATAAGACACGGCTATCAACATAGACTAAATTCCCAGGCAAGGAGAGCATTAATTGTCACATCAGATGTCTGTCAACAAGCCTGCTGTTGCTTTTACACTTCACAAGTCTGGCTTTAGAAGGAGAGTGACGAGGCAAAAAACACTTTATTAATCAACTTCACACACAAGGAGAAGCAGCATTCAGCTTCTATGTAGCACAAATCTGGAACAAACATCCAGAAAACTGCAAAACAGCTGAAACACCGAGTGACTGTTTAGAGTTCTTTTTGATTCCTAATAACCAGAACATTGATTGAAATATTTGATTTGCTTTATGATTTTGATGGTGACATTTGACAAAATGTAATGTTGTTACTTTATTAGGTTTTTATGATGTAAAGCAGGTTGAACTGCCTTGATGCTGAAATGTGCTACGCAAATAAACTTGACAAACTTATCACGAGTAACTCTTTTGGTCCATTGCATAAAAACCTGAAAAATACATATAGTTTTGCGGCTGTAATGTTACATAATGCAAAAAAAACAAAAAAAAAACAGGCCCACTCATGTATTACTACTTGAGGTTTAACTGACCGATGCTCTTTACTGGAATGCTTTTATCTCAGGGGCTTTTCCCCAAGACTGAACCTGCCTTCACACCATTATGGTGGTAATCTCCAGTAATTTCAGCATCCAACACCGGCCGCTGCATCCTCGCATCTCATGCTACTTTAATCCAGCGGTGTGATAATACTTAGCAGAGGGAAATGTGAGGCCGTAGCTGTAATAGATGACATGGCATTTGTTTCTTCCCCCCAACAAGACAATGTGCCTGTCATGGTCTTCTGACTTCTAGATGAAGTCTTTACTCACTTTGATGTTTCTGGATTCGTTTAAAATGACTTGCAAGTCGGGCAGCTGCACATTCAGGTGACTACTTTAGTACAGTTGGTTATTTAAGAACCGCCATCTCTAGTTTTATGGGTTTTTTTAAGGGTGACTAAACAGCAAAACAAAATCATGCTTTTCAGCTTCCAGCAAAATGGCATGAATCATACTCTGAGATGAAAAGGAGCTCATGACATCAAATTATATTCAGGTGGTCCAGTCAAAGTCCTGGCCAAAAGTCAGAATCTGAGAATCTGTGCTATGATTCTGCGTGTTGTAACTGCAGCAAAATGTGGCTCAGCCAAATCTCGAGGAATCTGAACATACCTCAAAAATCACACTTTTCAAATTTGTACTTTAAGCAACTTTACATTTTTATTTTCCTTTTATAGTTGAAAATGGTGAACTACTTCCTGTCGGTTTAGAAAATCCCATTAAAATCTATTGCAGCTTGCAGTTTTAACATAACAGAATGTGTGAATAGTTGTGCGTCCTCTTGCATTCCCTACTCCCTCTCTCTTGCTCTCTCAAGTTTCTATGAAATGATTTTTTTTAAACAAGGATCTGGCAAGATCTCAAAGTTTTGCCATTCTATAATAAACAATGACATGACTATCAGGAAAATATTTACTTCAATCTTTAAAGTGACTTATGGCAACGTTGGCCGCTAAACAGAGTGTCATGAGTGTTATGCTGTCAGGTGGCACAGTCTGTATAAATACTCTCTGTGCACTTGTTTATAGGAAATCCCCCATCTGGTTTCAGCTGAACACAGTCCGGCACACTGGTGAACCCATGAGTTTTTTTTTTTTTTCTTCTTTTTTTTTTCTAATGGAAAATATAACGGTGCTGGAATAGCTGGTCTCAAGTGACAGACAAGACAACAATTTAAAAGAGTGCAGGCTCCACATCCCTGAGTCCAGCCCTTTCCCGACTTGTAAACACAGAGCCCGGCTTTTGAAGAACTATCCAGAAAAGCCCAGTGGCCTTTATGTCATCCCGCTTTTATGGGATATAAAGGATAACACTGTTGTCATGCCTCGCAAACTTCAAAGTACGAATGAAGAGTTTAGCAAATATATCTGGAAAAAAATCACACAGCAACGGTGAAGATGTGATAAAACACACCGACAGAATCCTGAAAAACTTAAACAGAACCATAAGGACCTTGAAGAGGAACGGGATTATAAGATTTCCACACCTTCACAGCTTCACCTCATTCTGGGATTTATTGTGATCCGCGTTCATTTGAAACCGCCTAAAGCAAGTCTATATTTTTTGTGTTACTTTTACCTATTTTATGGCCAATTTGGTTTAGTCTAGAAGGCCCCTAAAAGCAGAGGGTGACGGCTGATGCTTACACAAAGCTGCCGTGACGTACGGCTGAAAAAGCGTTGAACAAAGTCAAAAAGATAATTGTTCTAAAACATGCAAAAGAGACGTTACAACAACTGGCTTTGTGGAAAACCCCCAAAAAGATACAGGTTATTTGGTTTAGGTTTTGTATTTGTCAGAACTTCTTTTTATCTCAGCTGGGATGAACCAACAGAAATAAGTGCATATGGAAGCCCAGGAGTGCCAATATTTCACTATATGCTTCAAAGATTTGTTAGGTTTATCTTTAGTTTTAGGGGGTGCCAGAATCTGAATATTATTTTTAGGATCTGACTATAAACAAAGTAAACTCAAATCCATTTATGTATGACCCAATAAAGTTTTTATAAGGCACTAAACGGCACAAATAAGAATTTTGTGGTCCTTAATCGGTTACACATGTGATGTTTTGCAGATGAACCCCTCAGAAAAGAGCTATCTGTGATAATCAGTGACAAATGACAATAATATATAATATTCTGTAAAGTTTAAGCCCATATGAAGACATAAAATCACTAAAGTCAAAGAAAACAGTTAAACGCCA